AAGCGATTCTCGAGTTTTATAAAACGATTTCTCGAGTTTTATAAAACGATTCTCGAGTTTTATAAAACGATTCTCGAGCTTTATAAAACGATTCTCGAGCTTTATAAAACGATTTCTCGAGTTTTATAAACTGTTCATTTTGTATTCTTGCGGAAAGTTTTGGCTATTAATTCCGTCGTACCGATTTTGACCCCAACAGATACCTCCAAAAATGATCATAGATCTTCTTTAGTTTTTTTCTTATCCCCCAATTTCTTGGCAATTTGGGAATCGAGAAACATAATATTTCTTATGGCTATTTGTTTCATCACAACTTTTTAAAACATGTTTTAACCAAATTATATTGTTTTTGGCAGGGAACAAAGCCATCAAACTAAGCTCTGCGCAAAAACTTCTCCAGTGAAAAAAATTCTTAGGATAACATTTTTGTATGCCATACAATCATGAATTAGTTATTGCCATTTCTTGGCTTTTGTACTCAAACTGGTTTTGTGAAACAGTTTTGAACCGACTGATAGTTGACCAAGTTACAACCTTTCGAAAGTCTAGAGAAACATCATGAAGAAGGCCAACCTATATGTTTAGGTAACCATCCAACATCAAACTATCGTATCAGTAACTTTCTTTCTCATCTCTCTTTCTGCAGTTTAGATTTAAAAGACAATGTTTTTATCATTCTCACTGGTTTGTACCTTGATAATTGCATCTTGAACAACAAAGAAAGTTGACCAAGTTACAACCTTTAGAAAGTCAAGAGTAACATCATGAAGAAGGCCAACCTATATGTTTAGGTAACCATCCTACATCAAACTATCGTAGCAGTATTTTTCTTTCTCATCTCTTTTTTTGCAGTTTAGATTTAAAAGACAATGTTTTTGTCATTCTCACTGGTTTGTACCTTAATAATTGCATCTTGAACAACAAAGAAAGTTGACCAAGTTACAACCTTTCGAATGTCAAGAGCAACATCATGAAGAAGGTCGACCTATATGTTTAGGTAACCATCCTACATCAAACTATCGTATCAGTAACTTTCTTTCTCATCTTTCTTTCTGCAGTTTAGATTTAATAGACAATGTTTTTGTCATTCTCACTGGTTTGTACCTTGATAATTTCATCTTGAACAACAAAGAAAGTTGACCAAGTTACAACCTTTTGAATGTCAATAGAAACATCATGAAGAAGACAACCTATATGTTTAGGTAACCATCCTACATCAAACTATCATATTAGTAACTTTCTTTTTCATCTCTCTTTCTGCAGTTTAGATTTAAAAGACAATGTTTTTTGTCATTCTCACTGGTTTGTACCTTGATAATTGCATCTTAAACAACAAAGAAAGTTGACCAAGTTACAACCTTTCGAATGTCAAGAGCAACATCATGAAGAAGGCCAACCTATATGTTTAGGTAACCATCCTACATCAAACTATCGTGTCAGTAACTTTCTTTCTCATCTCTTTTTCTGCAGTTTAGATTTAAAAGAATTTTTTTTTTTTGTCATTTTCACTGGTTTGTACCTTGATAATTGCATCTTGAACAACAAAGAATGTTGACCAAGTTACAACCTTTCGAAAGTCAAGAGCAACATCATGAAGAAGGCCAACCTATATGTTTAGGTAACCATCCTACATCAAACTATCCTATCAGTAACTTTCTTTCTCATCTCTCTTTCTGCACTTTAGATTTTAAAGACAATGTTTTTATCATTCTCACTGGTTTGTACCTTGATAATTGCATCTTGAAAAACAAAGAAAGTTGACCAAGTTACAACCTTTAGAAAGTCAAGAGTAACATCATGAAGAAGTCCAACCTATATGTTTAGGTAACCATCCTACATCAAACTATCGTAGCAGTAACTTTCTTTCTCATCTCTTTTTTTTTGTAGTTTAGATTTAAAAGACAATGTTTTTGTCATTCTCACTGGTTTGTACCTTAATAATTGCATCTTGAACAACAAAGAAAGTTGACCAAGTTACAACCTTTCGAATGTCAAGAGCAACATCATGAAGAAGGCCAACCTATATGTTTAGGTAACCATCCTACATCAAACTATCGTATCAGTAACTTTCTTTCTCATATCTCTTTCTGCAGTTTAGATTTAATAGACAATGTTTTTGTCATTCTCACTGGTTTGTACCTTGATAATTTCATCTTGAACAACAAAGAAAGTTGACCAAGTTACAACCTTTCGAATGTCAATAGAAACATCATGAAGAAGGCCAACCTATATGTTTAGGTAACCATCCTACATCAAACTATCATGTCAGTAACTTTCTCATCTCTCTTTCTGCAGTTTAGATTTAAAAGAAAATGTTTTTTTGTCATTTTCACTGGTTTGTACCTTGATAATTGCATCTTGAACAACAAATAATGTTGACCAAGTTACAACCTTTCGAAAGTCAAGAGCAACATCATGAAGAAGGCCAACCTCTATGTTTAGGTAACCATCCTACATCAAACTATCCTATCAGTAACTTTCTTTCTCATCTCTCTTTCTGCAGTTTAGATTTAAAAGACAATGTTTTTGTCATTCTCACTGGTTTGTACCTTGATAATTGCATCTTGAACAACAAAGAAAGTTGACCAAGTTACAACCTTTCGAATGTCAAGAGCAACATCATGAAGAAGGCCAACCTATATGTTTATGTGTTCTGTTTATTTTTACATTTTAATTTGGGATTTCTAGGATCTTTCAAAACAGGGTTGGTGGTTCTGGAATGGACATGAGAAGCACAGCCAAGGTAATCTGTTTATTTTATTTACAATTTAAGTTAGCAAATTTCCTGTGAAATATAATCAGAATGACAAAGCGTACTGATCTCTGTTTGGTTTAAATTTACACTCTCCCTGGACCTGCAACCAACCATCAAAACTCCCCAAAAGGAACTATGATGGTTCCAACACTGGTGAAGCTCCTGAGGAAGACAGTGACGTGATCTTATAATAAGGCCGCTTGTGTTCATTTCCTTTTCTAGGGGTTTTTATTTCATTCTTCTTTGATTCTCTGTTTTGATGTTTATACAAAACCATATATATCAGGGACCATACTACTGCAGTGTTGGAGCTGACAATTGGAAGGGAGGGACACTGTTGATTCTCACTACAAGGAATGTTTGCATGCCTATTAACACCAGTGCTGATCAATGGAGAAGTCATGCCTGGTCAGGTATTTCTTCAGAAACCAACAATGTATCAATCTTTATATCACTTATGAACCAAAATTTACAAACGCTTACCATGAGCTAATCTTTTTGGTTCAAACAGTTGGAGTTTCAAGTCCGCCCATTGGTTGGTTTGATGTGCTTTTCAGCTGATCTATGGTGGAGGGAGCGATGAGTCGAAGAGAAGATGACTTGAATATTTATAGGTGTAGACTTACCATGGATGATTCCGATCGGTATAGATTGGGACAGAGGGGAAGGAGTGGAGTTAATAGCCTCTATTATGGACTAATTTACGGCCAAAGATGTTACGCAGCCTGGAAATAAACATGGCAAACCCCCACATTAAAGAACACAAAGGATAATAAGAATGAAACGATGCACTGACGGCTAGGGCTTCCACACGGCGATCATGGAGACGATGATGATCATCGAAATTTTTGATCCTCTCCGCTATATCGACTCCATCTACGATCACCTGAGACACTCTTTTCCATTGAAGGTGTGTGGAACGGCCATACTCGCCTGTTCTTGAAGATTTTTTTTTGCATTTACTTCTCTAACAATCTACTAGCTTTGATGGTTCTCCTCGGGATCTAAGGACATCAAACGACCTCTATTGATCGATATTGATCTATGTGTTAGGATCCATTGATCCCGACGTGTTGTGGTTGTCGTTACTACCTGATCTCATCTTCCTCCTTCCATCGGGTTGCTTCCTTTGTTTTCTCATACTGTAAACAGAGCATTCGTTGTTTGATACTCATTTTTCTGGACTTTGCTTTGCCAAGCGTAATGGGTCCGTATGTTGGGGAAAATTCAGATGATGTTAAAGGCAAGGGGATTATGATCAACGAAGAGGAAGAGCCTTTCAAGCTAACTAATGATGAGGATACTCAAGTGCTTCGGGAGTTCAAGCTCTCATTGATAGGGAAGATCCTCAATCCCAGAAAACAAAATGTTGAAAAATTAATAAACTATATGCCTAAGCAGTGGGGAATGCATGATCGAATTACAACGAACGATTTGGAGGTTGTAAAATTCTTGTTGAATTTTACAACAGAAGAGGATCTCAACGAAGTCCTACGGGAAGGCCCTTTCCACTATAACTTCTGCATGTTCGTGTTAGTGAGGTGGGAGCCTATTGTCCACGATGAATACCCATGGACTATCCCTTTTTGGGTGACTATAACAGGAGTGCCATTTCACTTGTGGACTATAAAGAATCTGAGAGGTCTTGGGAACACTCTGGGGCGTGTAGATACGCTGGAGCTTGAGCAGGGTCGAATGCTTATTGATATTGACACGTGCAATGTGGGAACCGACATTCACCTACTGTCAAGAAATCGTAAATAAGGGAACTTTGAGTAAACCCTAAGTTCCCAGAGGATCCGACTATCTGCTGAACCGCACAAGAACAATTAAGACAACGATGAATGCGAAATAAAAGTATGAATAAGCGAGATTGAGAGCCAGAAGGATCTTATTCCGAATTTGCGTAAGAACGGTTACATTGAGAGTAGCTTTAGCTGCGTGAGCCGTCGGCGAGATTCCTAACCCTAGCAATCTTAAGACTAAACCGCACAAGAACAATTAAGACAACGATGAATGCGAAATAAAAGTATGAATAAGCGAGATTGAGAGCCAGAAGGATCTTATTCCGAATTTGCGTAAGAACGGTTACAACGAGAGTAGCTTTAGCTGCGTGAGCCGTCGGCGAAATTCCTAACCCTAGCAATCTTAAGACTAAACCCTAGTTGAGACGCAGCTCGATAACAAAAACGAAAATATTCCTAGAAGCTAAGTTTAGTGGTTAAAGCTCTGAAAACTCTTCTTCTGATTCTGTCCTCTGCCTCTTGCTTATATACTCCCTTCCTAGGCGGTTTAGTCTTTCCATTTCGCCCAGATTCGAGTTTATTGAGAATCTTCCATTTATCTCGATCTTTCTTTTTTTCCCGCGGAAATCTTCTATTTATCTTCAAACTTGACATTTATCTTCAAATTTGACATTTATCTTCTTTCTTATGAGTAAATCATCAAAAACGTCATCGTATCTTTGGGTTAGACTTCGCCAAAGTCGCAAGATGGGCTTTCATCGCGTTTCAGGTTTTTTCGAGCCGTTTTGCAATAAAACCGTTTTACCACTTCACACGAGATCGTTTCCTGATGCGATGCCATTTTTTTAAATAAGTTTCTCGAGTTAATCGTAAAGTTTGGCAATATTCGATGTTTCGGTTAATCTTTGCCGCTTTCTACGATTCACTCAAAGTTTTATTAAAAAACGTGTTTTTTTACGATTTCTCACGAAAAATCTCGAGTAAATCGTATAGTTTAGGCAATGTTCGGTGTGTTGTTTAACCGTTGTCGCGGAGGGATTCGTCTTCCTTCTGCGACAAGCTCCAGAGATAAGCGTCTGAGGTTTCCCGATTTATAAACATCGAGTACTGCTTCAGGAATTCGGAAGCAAGCCGGCGGAAGTTTCCGATTGAGTTTCTCTTGAGTTTGGTGAACTATTCGAGTGCTGCTGCTTCTAGGTTTTCGACAAAAAGACGACAGTAGCCTGCGTCTTTTTCGTGATCCTTGAGCTTGGCTCGTCCCATGGTGATCTGGAAGGCCTGTATGTGCGCTTTGGGATCAGTCGTCCCGTCGTAGGCTGGCACCTCAGTGATGCGAGCCGTAAAAGGCATTTTCCGAGATTCGTACAGTAGCCGATCGATTTCAGGTGCGGCGCTGGTAGCATGGTGAATCTGAGATTTCACCGCTTTTACCGCTGCGGCCATTTTGGTAATGTACTTGCGGAGATCGCGAATCTCTGTTAGTTCGCCAGCAGTTTTCCGACCTCGTCGGTGTTTGCTGCGAGTAACCGGAGATCGTTCCTCGGCTGTTTTCGCGCATTGCGAAAAATAGAGATCCTCCTCGTCTTCAGTAAGAGAACGCTCGGGAGAAGACTCTGGCAAAGGGCTGCGAGTTTTTCTTCTCCTAGGATGGACATCCGCGTCTGACGAGTCGGCTTGGTCACTTGTTTCCAGGTTAACCCTTTCGATGTCGTCTCCCTCGGTCTCCTGTTCGCGAATAGGAGATTTTTCCAATTCGTTCAGCATCGCGTCAGGGTTATCTTTTTCGGAGTCTTTCTCCTTCTGGTTTCCCTGCTCGGTTCTGAGGCGATCCATAGAAGTCACGAAATCGAGCCTCCTTCCGCGGATCTTAGTAGTTCCGCGGGGGCGAATCGCTCTGGTTTTCGCAGTTAGGGTTTCGACCTGTTTTACGAGTGAACCAATGAGCTTTTCTTGCTCTTCCAATTTTTTTGTTAAAATCGGAGAGCATCTTTTCGACGGTATCGGCGTTAGCGTTTGTAGCGTTGGCCGCGGACACATCTTGCAGTGGTGTATTGTCAACGTTTTCGCTTCCGCGAGTTATTTGTTCTTCTGTCATCGTTTCTCGATTGAGCGTGCTGCGGCTTTAGTGTAAGATAGATCCGACCCCCCTCCTTCTAGCGCCAAACTGTGGGAACCGAAATTCACCTACTGTCAAGAAATCGTAAATAAGGGAAACTTGATTAAACCCTAAGTTCCCAGAGGATCCGACTATCTGCGGAACCGCACAAGAACAATTAAGACAACGATGAATGCGAAATAAAAGTAAGAATAAGCGAGCTTGAGAGCAAGAAGGATCTTATACCGAATTTGCGTAAGAACAGTTACAACAGGAGTAGCCTTAGCTGCTTGAGCCGTCGGCGAGACTCCTAACCCTAGCAATCTTAAGACTAAACCTTAGTTGAGACGCAACTCGATAACAAAAATGGAAATATTCCTAAATGCTAAGATTGGTGGTGAAAGCTCTGAAAACTCGTCCTCTGCTTCTGTCCTCTGCCTCTTGCTTATATACTCCCTTCCTAGGCGGTTTAGTCTTTCCATTTCGCCCAGATTCGAGTTTATCGAGAATCATCCATTGATCTCGATCTTTTTTTTTCCCCCGGAAATCTTCTATTTATCTTCAAACTTGACATATATCTTCAAATTTGACATTTATCTTCTTTCTTATGAGTAAATCATCAAAACGTCATCGTATCTTTGGGTTAGACTTTGCCAAAGTCGCAAGATGGGCTTTCATCGCGTTTCAGGTCTTTTCAAGCCGTTTTGCGATAAAACCATTTTACGACTTCACACGATATCGTTTCCTGACGCGATGCCGTTTTTTTAATAAGTTTCTCGAGTTAATCGTAAAGTTTGGCAATGTTCGATGTTTCGGTTAATCGTTGCCGCTTTCTACGATTCACTCAAAGTTTTATTAAAAAACGCGTTTTTACGATTTCTCACGAAAAATCTCGAGTAAATCGTATAGTTTAGATAATGTTCGGTCTTCTGTTTAACCGTTTTCGTTTTATACGATTTCCTTGAGTTCTTTCGAGAAAACAAGACTTTACAGTTTTTATCGTAAAACTTGAACGATATGACGGATCGAGACGAAAAGAGAGACATTCCGACCGCGGTTTGGAACACGGTCGTGCCGAAGGACGTATGCCTTGACTCGAGGACGTGGGAGATCGAGGCTCGGGATAATTAGCTCGACGTACGATGAACCGAACAGGACCGGTTCAGTTCGCCGTACGGGGAGCTATACGAGACGCCCCTAGCTCGTTGTACAGCGTGCTAGTCNACAGGACCGGTTCAGTTCGCCGTACGGGGAGCTATACGAGACGCCCCTAGCTCGTTGTACAGCGTGCTAGTCTTGGTCGAGATAGCTTGCCGTACGGCGAGCTAGCTTTGGTCGAGATAGCTCTCCGTACGGCGAGCTAACTCTGGTCGAGATAGCTCGCAGTACAGCGAGCTAGCTCTGGTCGAGATAGCTCGCCGTACGGCGAGCTAGTTCGGCCGAACCAGCTCGTGGATTACGGCGGATGCGGTTTTTCGCGATTTTGTGCTTAATTCGGAGGATCGTGTAATCGGTGTTTGTTTCGTTCTTTCGAGATAACGATTTCCGAGTTTTCCACGGATTTCCTTTGTTCGGAAACTTATTAGAATTTTATAAAACGAGTTCTTGAGTTTTATAAAATGACTTCTCGAATTTTATGAAACGTCTCCTCGAGTTTTATAAAATGACTTCTCGAGTATTATAAAACGACTTCTCGAGTTTTAAAAGATGACTTCTTGAGTTTTATAAAACAGCTTGGCGAGTCTTATAAAACGTATTTAGTATTTTTTACAAAAAATTTTGGCTATTGATTCCATCGTGCCGATTTTGACCCCAATAGTTAGCCCCCCAGCTCGTAAGAATCGTGGAGTTCTTGCGAGT